GGTGTGTGTTAGGGAAGTGCTGGGATTCTGAGAGGTCTGCTTTAAGTCTAGCTTGGAGGGGACAAAGTGGGGGTCTTATCTCTAACATTCCCCCCGCACCCCGCAGTGAACAGGGGAGGCAGAGTCCGATTTAGTAGAAACCTGGGTATCTGGCCTTCTGAACTTTCCAGACTCTTGGCCATATACGCTCAGATGAGGTGACATTCAGACCCTCAGGCCCTCACTCTGTCCACCCAGCTAAAACTCTGAGGCTTTCCCAGCGGGTCAAGGACCCATTTTAAGGCCTAAGGCACCCCAGGGTCACTTCTGGGAAGGGCCATGCATTTTCTGGCCTACTCCTCAACCCCCTTCCAGTAGCTTCTGGGTGGGGTGGGGGTGGGGTAGGGAACTCTCTGGAATCAGCCTGATACATGGCCTTTTTCCAGCCCTTCACAACCCCATTGCTGTCCTACCCCATCTTCAAAGCCAGACAAGTCACTGGAGGTTGAGGGAAGTGGGGTTCAGATTCCATCAGGAAGGGGGATCCCATCACTGCAGTTGGGAAATGTCTTTGGCGTTCAACACCCTAGCTCCAGCGAGGAGCAGAGTCCTAAGTCCGAACAGATGGCCCCACACTCCGAGTTTTAGGACCTTCTGTGCTGGCCTGTCTTTAAAGGCTGTGTGAAAGCTGAGAAACCCGGGAGTCCTTCGGTAAAGGGATGTCCACCCAGGAGTAAAAGGCAGGGTGGTGCAGTGGAAAGCGCCATGGTCCAGCTTCTGCGCCCAGCTTAACTTGGGTACAGTCACCAAGCAGTTCTCTTTCAGCCAGAGTGACCGGGGCCTGGGCACGCCCAGGCAGCACCCTCACCCCCGCACCCTCACCCTCGTACCTGCAGCACGTTGGGGTGCCGCAGCCGCTCCAGCAGCACCATCTCCTTAAGCAGCTTGTGGGCCGCCAGCCGATAGCAGCCCCTCCGTGCCCCGAACTCGCGCACGCAGCTGCCCAGATCGTGGCCGCTGAAGTCCACCGCCTTGAGCGCCACCGCGGCGCCTCCGGGCAGGCGGACCCGGTACACGGCCTTGGTGTAGCCTGAGCCCACGTACTGCGCGCCAGTCACGTTGCGGAGCGCGGCGCAGCCCAGGCGAGGGCCCGGGACGGGGGAGCCCGGGCCGGGAGCCGGGAGCCAGCCCGCGGCGCCGTCGGGCA